TACCAGGAATACATTAGCCCGTCCCGAAATACATGATACATAATTATATAACGTCAGTGCAAAACAATACCCAGGTTTGACCTCAGAAACAGATTCCAAATGGCAAAATAGCTGTGACAGTCATATGAATGGACCGTTGAAAATCAGTCAGTGAGTTTGGTTTTCCGCCGCTTTTAGCAATATTCCAGCAATATCACGACGGGGGGACACCAGAAATTGACTTCACACAATGTACCCATGTGGGGAATCGAACCTGGGTCTTCGGCGTGACGAGCGAACGCTTTAACCACTAGGCTACCCCACCACCCCTGAAAATCAATTAAGACACCAGGTGTCGACGGGTAAGCACGTACTGGCTTGTATATACCCAGTATATAGCAGTAGGTGACCTGGATAATATGACAGCGATAAACAACGTCGTATGTGTGATTGGAATCAAAGTTTGTCAAGCTTTTGTAATAACTATAGTCGCAAACATTTCATTTCTAGACCGATCTCATCTCATTTGTTTCTCATCTTCGCAATCAAGAGCCTAAATACGAACTGTGAAATGTGATGAGAATGTTTTGTCTTTCTATTTATTTCTTATTTTTCAAACTACTCTTTTTAAATTTAATTGCAGCTGAATCAAACTACAGTCAAATAATGTATCATTTTCATCTGCGTTCTTGAGTCTTTGTGAGTATTGACTCCATTTGTAATAAAAAAGACCCTCATTAAAAGACTCGAGCTAAACTAGTTTCACATTTCAACCAATTTGTAACAGAATATTTAGTAATGTTGCTAAGAGAAAAGAAACTATGAATATTGTGATAACGTTAACGAAACATATTGAAGATAGAATTTATATTTGTGACCCTATCGTTTTCCCCATTTGAACCTCATAAATAAATAGTTAAGAGCTATCATTAAAGTTGATATTGCTTCAAGTACATTAGTGTGAGCGATGTTCAGCTCTTAAAGTGCCCTTGGTGAAATAATACGTATAATGCTATACCCAAAAATATAGTGATGAAAATTACGATCGCATCCAAAAAGCTCTGAATGACGATATTGCAAACAAATGATGAAACGAAGTACTTTAATTCACTGTGAACTAATGGAAATAACTCATTCGGTCAATTTATATAGTCTGTACAAGCACACAAATCAATATCATCGATTATTTACGATAATCACATTGTAAAACAATCTACAAATACATGTTACACAAGCAAGTAACTCCGGAAATTTAAAAAGTCGAAAGATTTAGTTGGGTTGACCTGTTCCAACAGGGTGCACCAATCGATCGCGCACCGTCAGTCTAATCTATTGTGTCACGTAAGCAGCACAGAAAGCGATAGATTCACTCTCACGGTCCCGGCTGCCCAACTAATATCTCTCTTGGCAACCCGGCGTAGGTCACGTACTGCAGCCTTCTGCGCCACCTAGATAATGGATTGACCCTTGGCCAATCACAGGATGAGATTCCGGATTCTTGTCTTCTGATTGGCTGACGCTGATAGTGAGCCGGGCCGGTGTCAGGTCGGTTTTGTTCCCTCTACACTGTCCTTTCTCGCTGTGTGCTGAGTATTATGTTTCCGAGTCAGTTATGCGTTGCGATGGCGGCAGATGGCTTACACGGCGAGGGCTATGTGTACTTCGTGTTCAAAGCAAGCTGTGTGATATTGTGATCGCTTGATGGCGTGCTCCATAAAATATTCAAATTGATTTTTCGGTGCGACGTTGACTGGCTTCACACAGATTTTCCCATTAGCTACATCTGTAGTAATAGTTCCTCTGTAATTTGAATATTTAGTTGGCAAAATGCAAATTTTAAAATATCGATTCAATTAGTTCAGCATTTGAGTTATTTATGCATAAACAATTACTTAATCAATTCTGTTAATGGTCGTAAAGTGGCGCTAACACAATAGAATGCATACATTGTTTTATATGAAGTATTGATATATGTTGTCCCTAATAGGTGAATACTGCAATAAATACAGGTTCTACCGGGTTATGGAAAGGCGCCATGTAGCAATACAAAAATAACATAATCTAATATTAAACTGGGTTGGTTATTTGTATAATGGCATTGCCTAGCTGGAATGTTCTTGAGCTTTGTCATAAGAAATCTGTGATGCAAACACATGAATCCGGATTGAGGTCACCAACCAGTTAATCATAATGTTCCGACAAAGAGGCTTACACTTACCTGTGTATCAGGGAGAATTACCTGTGTTTATATGCTTAAGGGCCAAAGAACATGCATTAATGGATATCCGTGTTTGTCTGCTGTATGTTCTCAACAAAATAAAAACGTTTCATGTTTAAGCCGTAGGATAAGCGTTTGATTCATTCGTGGCCACAAGACAAACAAAAACAATGTACAAAATGTCATGCCTAAAAGTATGTACGTGTTATATATCTCAAAGGTTCGACACACGAGATAGTTGTGGATTACACTTCGAAGACCCTATGGGAATTCTGGTTCAGAATCTATCCCACAAACTTGTTGCGGGAGGCGACAAAACCGGGTGGTCAGACTGGGTTACATGATTAACTGCGTGTCACTGTGCCTCCTTATACTCACAATATCAATCACTGGTTTGTCCAATCCAGACTTGATCATTATCTGGTCGACATCATCTGTCTGGAGGGGCGATGGGGTAGCCTAGTGATTAAAGCGTTCGCTCGTCACGCCGTAGACTCGGGTTCGATTCCCCACATGGGTGTCATGTGTGAAGCCCATTTCTGTTGTCCCCCGCCGTAATACAGCGGTGTATAACCACACTAACTCACTCACTCATCTGGCCCGAGTACTGCAGAGTGCTTCGAAAAACAATATACAGCGGTGATGTAAAATGTTTTAGAGCCGACATAGGTATGTCTATTTATCTCACGCAAGTGGACAATTATACGCATGCATACTATTAAATTATGTTCTGCACAACTTGAATGTGTTAACATAGTCTCTCATTAAATACACTCAGTGACTCAGGATGTAATATATCTGAACTTTGGTTTAATAAACATGCGGTGAACATTTGAAACATGTGTTGGTGCGATACATCCACGTGAATATAACATCAGCCAAAATAACAAAAATATGATTTACATGGCCGCACAAGTACTTGTCCTAAACCAAGATCTTGTCTCTGAAATGAACAATTTTTACAGAAAAATACTGTGTATAAAAAATAATCATAAAATATTATGAAAAGGAGACCAGAGATTTTCTTCATTTTCAGCCTTGAACTATGGAAATCTAGACTTGCCACATATTCTAGACTTGCATGGGCTTTCTTGGATATGTTTGTTTCTGGGTCTGTATGACAGACAATGGTTGCCCTGCACCTGCTGCATCTGCAACCACTACGTCACCGTCTACTTTGACGTCTAGCCTTCCAAACATGGAACTTCCATTATAATGACAGCATCGGGTACCACGACCCCGATAACCTGTGGTCATATATTTCTGTATACCATTGCAATTGTTTTTCACACGATTGTCATTTGTGACGTCATATTACTGTACCTGCAGTTAATTAAGAGAAAAGAAGTACATGTACCCATGTAGAGCCACAAGAGAAATCATTCGTTCTGTCATACCGCTTCCGATACATCTATCATCTTATATCCTCTTACTCTGTTGAAGGACTACCAGTGGATCAAATCAAGTTTCCACACGCAATGCAGAAATTGCAAAACCTTTGATTAAAACAACGCTTACTTGATTTTATGTGTTAACGCTGACTGATAGTGATTTGACATTTTGATCCTGTTTACGTGAAATGGACTGTCGGTCACACGTCACTGTTGACTTTTGTTAGGAAGACATCCAATACATTTCCGTCTTGAGGCTTCCTGCACAGATTCTAGCGAGAAATTTCGTGAACTTGTGAAGACGACAGAGAACGACCGGTGCTGACACTTGCACGTTCCCCCGGGCAATACGTGACCGTGCAAACGTTGACATGAAGAACCTCAACAGCATATTGCTAATCTAGTTGTTGTGAATGCACCCTGTGACAACGACACCTAACGGATATAATGGTTTAAAATGCAAAACACTTTTATAAGGACATATTTTACTTTCTAACTGCATCATGAGGACGAGATATGTATGTACAGAGTAATACATAGGCTGTCACGTGAAAAGGTTTAATTACAAGCAGTTATAGCTTTTAAGTGAACCCGAGGTTATTGACTCTTCCATGATATATTTCTGCTTTTGTTTAGCGAGAAACCATTTGATTTTGATTTATTTAAATATCTCATTAATTTAATTATTTTTACCAACAAAATTCGGTTATTATATTTGTGAATGACTAAAAAATAACGAACTGTATTTTTTGTGTGCTTGTCAGCAAGAAATGGGCACATAATGTTTTCATTCATTGCGAGGCACATGTGTTTTGGGTTAAGACTCATCCTTGATTACATGTTTAGAACAAATCCCGCCCTGAAAATCAAATGATCCATTATATTGTACTTGCACTTGTATTAACGTCATTTACATGCAACTGTGAGTAAGTGCATGTGTTTTAACGCCAGGTTTGACAAAATGTCAGTCATATCACGACGGGAGTCTTCAACAATGGCTTTCAAACACTGAACCGTGCAGGTAACTGAACACGGATCTAGACGGTACAAAGCTCAAAGCTACACAGATGACAAACACAATATGAATGAGATACTTATAGTGTGAATAGCTCAGAGAACAAAACTCGTTGAAGACATAACCGTCTTAAAAGCACTTAAAACCTGATTTATCTACATATACTTTTCATTGCCCCATTCCCATTTTCCTGCACACAAACAATAGAAACCAGGACATGAAAGAATGTTAATTTCGCGTCTCAGTCTTTAATTCAGATGATTTTATTGAATTAGAAGCATAAAAATACCCATTCCAGTTTCTTGGTGATCAGAACCAAGTTATCAGTATGTGATGTACGTTTAGCTATGTTAGATATCGAGGGATTCGATCTTGCAGGGAGGGAGAAAACACTTACTTGTAAGGAAATCTTGACCTCAGACAGAACACAGGATATGTTTGGAGGCAGGTGCGGTGTTGGCTGGTAAGAAACTTACATCCACTGATCATTTCGAAACAAGATCTGTCATATGTTAAAACATTAAACTAAGAGTATGAGTTTAGTTGAAAGGCAGGTGTACTTATCTTGCCTATTTACGGTAATATACACCAGTAGTGATATTTTACACCTGACGTTCCAACATGCGTCCTACTCTCGCTGGAATACGCAAAAAATCCGTGTTTATATTTTTATCACTTAAAATAACCTTTTAAAGGCCAACCACGCAGAATAATCAATAATGCATTGTTAACACTGTAGAACGTGCAAGAGCCTTTTGCAACATACATCTAATCGAGTCAATTACAGCCTGTTGTCAATTTCACATGTATACAGTTCGTCTTCCTCGTGGATTTAAGTTCCATGTCAAATGACATTAATCGTTTTCACAGAATCCACTCATCAGGCCTGGCTGTACTCGTGTTTCCTTTGTTAAACATTGTCAATATTTCTAACAAGCTTCCACCTTTTGATATTCATCGACTGTGCAACTGTCGCGTATCCGGGTCTTTATTTCACGGTTCCAATCAATACCTACAACACAGGGAGCGTGTGTAAACACACACCGTTTTTCACTCCATATACGAGTAATATTCAAGTCGACCTACAGGCGATGTTGTAAGTCTAGCGCTGGTGAATGGTGTTGAAATGCTTAACAAAAGGTTGTTCTTTCTGGTTTTTGTTATTCCTTTTATCGATCCACGTATGTCTTTGCTGGCTTCAAATATTTTATTCTGGTGGTTTTTTGTCTGCTAGCTCTACTTTTGCCTGCTTGAACTATGGTGGACAAATACCTCCACAATTCATACCATGTTATCTTAATCCAATCTGCGATTTCTTAGAGGTGGTCAATATTATTTAATCAATTGTTCTTTCGTTGAATGTAATTATGTGAAAATAATGGCTTTCTCTTGAGAGTCGAGAGCCGATAAGCCCAATGGATACCCAAGCTTTATAGACATCAACATTAGGAATTGCTATGTATAATGCATGATGCAGTAAAACAGGGTTATATCAATGAATGGATTCATGGACGTGTATAACAAAGGCATGGATTAATTGCACAGCTGGGTTGGAGGATGGATGAACAGTTTGATTGATGGATGGGTGGGTGGCTAGTATTGAGCGTTTCGTCTCATAAATCCAATTAAAATAAAACTACACAAAAATATTAATCGAATAACAAAGCTAACTAGAAGAAATATGCGTGTGACTTTTTGTTGTTGTCTCTGTGGTTGTGTCACGTGATACAGATAACATAGTTCCCATGTTTTAAATATCAAGTATTAGCACTGGATGGTCAATAATACGTTTTTACCCAAATCGAATTGTAATGTTGGTGATAAATAAAACACTATCAATCCCTGTTTTGTTATTCCACTTAGTTTGAATAGCATAATGAACCGTTAAGCGTAACAACATTTCCCTAAATATTTTGATCGCGTGATAATTTGCCACGATTGTGTAAAATGCCTCCTAGTATTTATTCAGGGTTTAGTCAAGCAGGCTTGTGGCATGCTCCGTTTTCGGACTGGGGTGAGGAGTTTTTTCTCGTGTTAACGATCACATGTTGGGGCGCCTTGAAACCGTCAGAACGTTCACACAGTGTGTAATCTGAAGGTCTGACATGTTTAGCAGGGAAGTGTCAATTGGCGCAAAGATGATACCACCGAGCGGCCCTGTTTGCGCTGACCTCTCAGCGTAGAACGACAAAAATATGGCTAAGTCACTCTTCTCCTGTAGAAGGAACAGTTACGCGAATATGTTAATAGGTGTTGGGAGAGGCCTTTGCTTGGTAGACCTTTAGCTTGAGTGTTCATGCTTTATAGGGACCCCATTCATCCTCCTCGCTCGGCTCAGTATTCGACTTTGATCAATGCGGCTTGTAACATTCCAGATTCTTGTTCATCGTATTAATGCGTTCTCGTCTAACCAAGTCTCGTTACCGAATGAGACTTCCTCGAAATGGGGCACATGTGTACAGTACAGATATGTACGTATTGACACCGCGGTTTTTACATATCTTACAAACTGAAGTAAATTTAGTAATATCATGCCGTATTTGTTACAAAGTGTGTTTTTTGTGTCCGGAAAAATGTTAAAATATTTTCGTGTTGTAAATGGGTCAAGTGTTTCAAAACGGAAATTTAAAACCGCGGTATGTTATCTTTCAAAAGAAAACAGCATGGCGGATCCAGTGTTGAGAAATAGTTGGGGCAGCGGAATACTCGCTCCTGACGCCTTGTAGGAAGACAGCTAGTCGCGAATAAATAGCTGAGCTTTACCCGATGAACTTATTGTGAAAACATGCATCGTCGTGGCATATTAATAACATCCCAAGATGAAACAGAAAACAGCCCGCATGTGTTAGAGAGGTGATGGCTTACATACCGGTGATGGATGGGAGAGCTTAAAGCCTAAGATTACATAAAACAGGGATGAAATGTTTATGCGAGACACGATTCGCCAGAAGTAAGGGTTACAGTTATTACAACCAAACACACAACTGCCATTAAGAAAAATTAGTTTGGTGTGTGATATATTCAAACTATCTGTTCTATAAACATTAACAGTGTAACGATTTACGTTATGGAAATGTATGCATCTCTTAAAGGATTTCCATCCCAAATATGCATGCACTCCAACTATGACTAAGAGTCACCCCTTTAATCATTTAATGGGATGCACTATTACCCGATTTATTTGGTCCGGGTTTTTTCTTGAAGTGGGGAGAAGATTGCACCAAGGGAAAATATCCGGTCGTTATCTGACACACCGGCTGCAGCTGGTGTAATACACCCAGAGTAATTTTACACTTGGCCTTTGAGCCTCTATTCGAGACAACAATGACGTGCCTTGCAGGATAACGACCGGTGTAAGGCTAGATTTGTTCCCGTTGAAAATCAATGCAAAGCCCATTGTCGCCCTTCAACACAAGCTCGCCATTGTTTGATCCCCCGGTTAAAAACACCCTTTTTAATCTCCTTAACAAAATGAAATTAAATGCCCGTTTCCTTTGAACGTGAGAAAGCATAAACTCCTGGTGTTTTAGTTTATGTACTGAAAATCATTTGATTTGTTAGTTCAAGGATTAATGGAGCTGTTTCATTTTGTTGGATGAGAAAACTGAGAATTGTTTTTATCGAAAATGAATTGATATATTGAATTAAGAGATCACAGAAGTCATTACATTATAAACCGCTGAATAGTAAGAAATCAATAATTTAAACAGGAAGATAGTTTTTCAACCTTCAAACCTAACATCAGAAAAATCATTCTTATCAAATAAATCTATTGACATGCAATTTCACAAATCCGTTTGGGCTTGTGAGTAAATAAAACACATAGCCCCAACTAAATAACATATATATACTCACATTAGCAACTGGAGATAAGACCATGATAAATTAATACACCATTGGGTTATCGAGAAATATTGACATATGTCGCTATGAAATAGGTGATTAATTTGATAGTGTCAAGCACACTTGTGCGTGGATTTAGCGGTGATTGTTATCGGCTAGTCACGTGGGGCTCTAGAGAGGTGGGTCACGCCTCACGGGTTCAACATAATGGAGATCGGCTTATTTAGCCCGTGTTTGTAGTCTACAGGGGAATGTCAATGAAAGGGTTTATGTAGAGATAATCTAATGAAGTCTGAGATCTATAAAGTGTCGGGTTTATCGAAGGTGCGCCTACTATTATCAGCCAGGCATGCCTCATCTATCAGAATATGTGGTCGGTTACAGCTTTCAAAACAAGATGTGTTTTCCCTTGCTTTGCATGTTTAAATTGTTGCTGGCTAGAGAGAACGGGATTTAGTAAAGATACAAACAAACCATATATAACTGGGTTTTTTTATTTGCCGGTTATAATTCTTATATAAATTTTATGGAATTAGTTGCTTTGATTGGAAGAAATAAATTTGACTTTGCATACCGAATATATTTCAACTAATACACCATGTACCTTGATGCTCATAGTACATCATACACAATGGGAGAAAGGAATGATTGTTTTCAATAACAGTGAACAATGACTACAAACAGTCACATCGGGAGGGAGACGGCAGTATTGGGGTAGGTGTGATCTTTTGAAAAAAGATGAAGCGATGTAAACATTTACTGAATGTGCACCCTTTCAAACAAACGAAAAATGGATCCTTGTGTTTTTGAAAGAAGATGATCTTGGAATAACAGAAGCACCCACTTCCACCCCCAACCCAATCACTCAAACTCTTAAAAACATCGTAGATCCTCCAGGGGCGGTGGGGTAGCCTAATGGTTAAAGCGTTGGCTCGTCACGCCGAAGACCCGGGTTCGAATCCCCACATGGGCACAATGTGTGAAGCCCATTTCTGGTGTCCCCCGCCGTGATGTTGCTGGAATATTGCTAAAAGCGGCGTAAAACCAAACTCAGTCAGTCAGTCAGTCAGTCGTAGATCCTCTCTTGATGTTCTTCATATCACAAGTTCATGATAAAGACAAACTAAACTCAGGATTGGGCTTTCGTAACAGAGTTATCAAACACACTGCACTGCCCTAATCATGTAACAAGGCAACAACTCCACAAAGGAAATTACGAGTCATCTCCTTGTCAATATCACTGATAAAAGACGAGTTTTAATTACTCTATCGCTTTAATGTTTCGGACACCCATATCGAACGTTTAAATGAAATAATACTATTACATGTCAACAGTTATGTTTAATGCCTTTGATATTTCTAATGTGTGATTAATTTTTATTAGTATTGCATAATATGTGCCAGTCCCGTTTTGTTAATTCACATCATCTCTCCCATGGCAACCACATCAAACGCTATGTAATTAAATGTGTCACATTTTGCCCATGCTGTTTATCATATTGTGTGCTATTATGCTACGTTAAAAATTACATAGTAGTGCAAAGTTCCAAACAGAGAGCGTGTTCAGCTGTCTATTCATCGAATACTGTTAAAACATTGAACTGTTCAATCCAAACGTTTAACAGATTCAGGTATCGATCCTACAGGAGAGGCCGAGTCTCTCTTGCGGACCCTGAAACACACATTTCCAAAATAAACCAAACGGTCTGTCATATTTTGTTTTAATGATCAAAACTCCCAATAGTTAGTTACTCG